ACAACCCTGTGAATATTACAGGGCTCCCTGTCTCCCCCCAGAAACTCTACCTAGAGATGGTGGTCTGCTTATAATCAAGTAGGGGGAAAAGAGAAGACAAATAATGAATATCAGGCCCAAATGCTGAAATCGTAAACAAGGGTAATGAAATCAGACATGAGCCCCTAAAATCTACACTGAAATGTGGCCCCTTAAATTTCCCAGAAGTGCTATCTGGAGTGCCACATATGCTACCGGAATTTGGGGTGCCATACGATTTCACCACAAGCTTATTAATAAGTCCCCAATATTAATAAGCCCAAGAGGGTTCTTGCCTAATATTTAGAGAAGAATTCTAAATACTGGCACAGATAAACGAGGCAGCCTGGTACGTTTTAGGCTTTTATTTCATGCGAGAGGGATCTAGGAAAGTGAAGGCTTTAGTTCAGGTTGGAGAGAAGGAAAAGTCTGGAAACTGGAGTAGCGTCCATACCGCTAGAGAGCAGGCCAAAGCCACGTGCAGCAAGCACCTCGAGCTGCTATCTACCGCTTATCACCGGCAGCACCGCAGAGGCAGAACGCGTTCTGTGCCCCTCCCTGCCTTTTTATATATTTCCCACAGGGGAGTGGCTTGTGGCCAGGTGGGCGCTCAGGTAAGGTCAGGTAGAGCCTGATGTCACATGGGGGCTTGGTGGAGGTATCAGGTGGGGCATGAAGTCACACTGGGGCGTGGTCTTCCAGCTCACAAATCTAATCAATTTTAGCCTGTATGCTTGCCTACTTCAGTAAGGCGTCTCTCAACTCCTCTTCCTTTTGTCCCTATTTGCTCAACTTAAAACCTTTTGTTGTATTCTTCCTTTTGCCTATAGAGAATTTAAATTACTTCTTGAAATAAAAAATGTACCGTGACTAAGAAGCAATTTTACATAACAGTCTTTGCAATACATAGCCAAATAGCTCTTTATTGTTATTGGTATGTTACTAATTACCTTAGGAAAAAAAGAACTTTCCGCCTACCTAAGTGGTGAGGAATATTGGGAGGCTGTAAGAGCTGAGTCTCAAAATTAGTATAAACAGGATTTGTAATACATTTCAATTTACTGAATATTTTTTCTTTTTAATCATTTTATAGCTTTCTATATATTATACAGTATGGTTAGGCCCACAAAGTGTTGGAATTTGTGCAGTGTTATCCTTTATTTCCATAGTAGTATACCTAAAGAACTTAATATAAATACCATTGAAGTAGGCAAGAACCTTCTCGGGCTTATTACACACATAGGCTCAATTTCTGACTTCCTACCTAACAATAATACAAATAATTAAAAGCAATTGGCATCACTTCAGAAAGACTGTCCTTACCCACACAAAATGGTTAAGTTTCCCAAACCTCAACATATAAGTGTCTATAGAGAGAATTCAGTTAACAAAATGCTTGCTAGCCATTTCAAATACCTGATTAGAGTCTTAACTCTTTCTTCAATTTCTATGTTGAATTTATTTTTTGTTTTAAATATTTTTCTTGAAAGGTACAGTTACTGATGGGGGTGGGAAGTGGGGAGGTGAGTGGGAGGAAGAGAGATCTTTAATCTGCTGGTCTCCCCAGATGACCCTAACAGATTGGAACTAGACCAGAAGGAAGCCAGGAGCTTCATCCAAGTCCCTCTTGAGGGTGGCAGGGGCTCAAGTACTTGGGCCACCTTCTGTTACTTTCCCAGGAACCTCAGTAGGGAGCTGAAGTAGAGCAGCCAGGGCTCAAACTGCACCCATATGGGATGCCAGTGTTGTAGGCGGTAGCTCAACCTGCTACCCAACTCCAGCCCTGCTGTATTTACTTTATAATAGCTATACAATCTAATTTTACTTCCATTTCTTAAGTCCAAAACCTTTTATAGCCAAGTAATAACTTGACATCTCTATTGGGTTTGTTCTTAGCAGTCTTAAACCCAGTATGTCCCAAGCGAACTCAAATCTATTGCTATACTTCTAGTGCAAGCAAAAGCTGTTATGGCAAACAAAATTGAGAATCATTCTGAAAATGTACAGTGCCAACTCTATTTTTTTTCTATTTTGGGTTCCTTGGAAGCAGAGACTGATAAAGGGATTATGATATACAAGAAATTCCATGTAAATAGAGAGAGTCCTTGGGCGCTTGTCAGCTCTTGATGAATTGGGATTGTGGCTGTGAGGAATGAAGAGGGGTGTGTTACCTCCAAGAAGCATGTCCTACTTCTCTTCAGAAGGGATAAGTTGTGACCCTAGCAGCCAACCTAAAAACTGGTGAGTTTAGAAAAAAGTGTGCAGATAGGAGATCATGGCATTTATTCTACCAACTATATTTAGTTTATCACCAGGTTTTCTGAATTCATATTCTCAAATAGATACTGATTCAGCGACTTGATCATTATACCATCATCTTTGTTCAAGGATATATTTTTGTTTTACAAGAGAAATGGAATATCCTAATTGTAGTTCACAAAATCATTTGCCTATGCAATTTATTCTCTTCAAAAGTCTGAGACTTAAAAAAAAAAAAAAAACCATATCATTGCCATACTTAAGACTCTTGTACTGAATCCCCAAATCTATAAAATGTCCTACAAAATGCAAGATGAGCTGGTTTGTGTCAACCTCTCCATCCGCTTTGCTAATTAAACATCCCAATCATCACTCTATTTTAGCTACAAGGGAGGTAGAAGTCCCTGAGAGCTGAAAGTTGCTTCATGCCTCAAGGCTGATGTCTCTCTCCTAAATACTTTTCTTCGAATAAAGCTGGGCATCTTCAGAGGCTCCTCCCTTGTGGGACCTGAGTCTCCATTTATGTGTTCTCACTGTATTCTAAGCATTTGTTCCACTTTTGTAAAAAATATATTTGTGTGTTTATGAGCTTAACTTTTTAATAGACTATTTCCTCCAAAAGCCCACAAGGCTGTTAAGCCTCAAGAAGGTAAAAGCCTTATCTGCTTTATATTTGCTACTCTCTCCCTTCTCAAACTCCTTATCCACTTGCTAAGCTCTCAATAAATATTGGTTGAGGAAAAAAATCAATAACATCAAATACATTTGGGATTAGGAGAGAAAACGAGAAATACTGCAGCCATTCTAATCTGAGCTCTGTGAAAACCCCATGTTTCCATGTTTGTTCAGGCCTGTTTATAGGATTTTTCATGAATACCATCACTGCCTATTCTGCTTGTTAGAAAACCCAATATAAAACTTAATAAATGAAGCCTAAGTAATTATAAAAAGACATAATAATCACTGTGTGATCACTATTAAATAGAAAATTTTCTAAGATGTATTTTCTTATTATTAGCTCCCATAGTTAACATATAACCTAGGGATTATTTTCTCAAATCTAAGATTTAGAAAATTGAGATCCAATGAATTTAAGTATTTGCCCACGACCACACAACCAATAATGGTGATGCCAGTATTGAAGTCCGCGTTCTCATCAAGGATGTCCATAGTGGAAGGTGAAAGAGTAAGGTCTTATAATCAACTCTAATATCTTTGGATGTGTACTTTTGAGTATATCACATAACCTCTTCAAACTGTTGTCTTCTCAGTGAAATGGAGGTATTGAAGGCATCCACTACCCGGAGCAGCATTTAGCACAATGTTTTTCAATTAGGAAATACCCAAGTAACTACAACTTCTGCCATTGTGATTATGTATGCAATTCCAAGCAGCCAAAAGCGAACTTAAACTAGAATGAGAAATTAGAAGTGGTTTACTCTTGAAAATAACAAGTCCAAATGTCAGATAGACATTGGGTAAGGGTTAGAACCTTGGCAATGTTCCCTAGTATTGAAGGTTTTTCCAGCTCTGTTATTCAGTAGTAATACCTTAATTAAAGGTTACATCAAATCATGAACTCATGATGAAAGCAAACCATGAAGTGTTGCTACCCTTCTCATAGCAGAATTTTTGTGCCTCAAGAACTGAAAATATCCTGGGGAAAGAACATTCTGGAATTGAAAGTGTTTGGAATAACTTTGAGAACCAATCACAAAGGGCTCAAGATTGCCATGTGACAATCAGAAAGGTCAATTAATTGGGCTAGAATAAATAGAGGCACAGAGCTTGGTGTGTGATGATTAGACCTCTCCCACAAATCCAGTGCTACCAACTTTCACATCTATGGCATAGAGGATATATGATACCTTCTACCCACTCAAACTTCTGGATACTATCTTGAGACAATGGATGTTGGATGAACAATAATGAATTTTGACTTAAAGTTATTATAGTGATTTGGATAATATAGATATTCATGTAACAGAGATATCAGAAGCTGACATTTCTATTTACACAACTGGTTTTATATAACTATAAGGGAGGGACCAAAAAGAGGGAATTGGACAGTCCCAATATTTTAAATCTCTGTTCCAGATATTTTCTGGTAATGTACACTAAAATCATATGGATTTCAAAAATTATGTGTGAACTCTAGATATTTCACTTTTAAAAATGAACTTTGGCATGTGTTTAATGAAGACTGTGTGCTGATGTTGGGATTTATGAAGGCAAGTGTCTGACAGAGCTGTTTGCCCATGAAGCCATGCAAGTACTTAGGTTTATCATCGCCTACAGAGTTTGTATGTGTTTCTCCTTCTACTGGATTCAGAAATGTTCCCACATTTGGGACAGGATTGAATGAATTGTTAAATTGCTTAATCACTTAGTGACAGCAGAATTGTTTATAGTTTAGATATGATATGAAATCACATTCTAATTTACTGAGAGTTTATCCTCAAAGAGGAACCACATGTAGAATAAATATTTAATGTCAATTATTATCCTTAAAGAATGGTAATGTAGCATAGTAATGTGTAGGAGAGATTATCTTCATAGAGAAAATTATAATCATCTATCTGTACAACACTGCAACCTTTTGAAAAACATACTGATAGAATTGAGAGACTTATTCATAAAGTTGAAAATCAATGCTTTTGGAAACAAATGGATTGATTCCAAGTGCCATCTTTACTGTTTCCACCTGTGAGACTTGACTTTACCTTGATTACCCTTGAAATTCAATTTCTCCATTGTAACGGGGGATAAATTAATTTTTAAAAAGAAAGAAGCCTTTTACCCTCCTACAGCGTGGAATTTCATATCTTAAATTTCAATTTGAAATAATCTACATCAATCCCCTCAAGAGGATGTAGAAAATGAGTTCTACCGAATTTACAACAAAGCTATATAATGACAGAGGATTTCTTCTTTGTTTATAATCTATTAGGTCAAATACTTAAACTAAATGTTTTTTAGACATTCTAGAATTAATACCTTGCCATATTTTTGGGGTCCTAAAAAAAAACTTCTAAATTTATTCATTGCATGATTTTGTCTTAAAAATAAAAAGCATCACTTCTCCCTTGCTAATGTTAAATTCACACATCAAATTTTGGCATGGATAAAAATATCTATCTAATGAATATTAAATGAGGACATTTTCCCCCGGTTCAGTATTATCTTTCCTTAAATCATAGTGATTATTTTATTTTTGCTTTCTTCATTCAACCAACACTTATTTAGGACCTACTGTGTGCTGCATTCTAGCAACAAAGCAAATTGAGCAGCTCTTCATTTTGGATGTTGTAAAATCCTCTGGTGGGGCTGCTGTATACTTCCTGAACTAACAGTTGCCTTCTGGCTATAGAAGAGGGATTTGGATCAGAAAATACCCTCATTCATATACCTATGGTTTCCACTAAAAGGCAAACTGAAATAATTGATTTTCATTATACGCACATACTGATAGTCTAAAACATTTTACCAATAAAGTCCCTCTCCTGTTTCTCTGGACTTGTAACTTCAATATGCAGAGAGGAATCTGTGCAGACATACAAGAAAGAAATGTCTTTCTATTCTTTTATCAGAGTCTGAAGACAGAAGACTGAAATGCATCCATTTCTGGTAACCAGCAGGTGGTGCTTTTAGTAATAGTTATAAGAGTTTACTGGGATATTTTTCTATTGAGCTTTTTTTTTAATAAAACGGCCAAAAATTAGGGTAATATCTTGCCATGACGTGAAGGAAGATCTGTATTTTTTCTTGTTACTAAACATGTATTTACAAAGTGCAGTACAGCTTTTCTAATATCCCTATCAGGTTTCAGTCAAAGGGTGAGAGAGATGAAATACCAAAGAAGCTGAAGTCTATCTAAGTAGTAAAGCCTGATAATTTGTTGAAATGGCACTTGCTTATTCAGTTAGACCAATTTAATTGCTGGATGAAACTATTATAGACTATTATAGATGTATTTGTATTATTTTAACTCATACTGGTTTAACACAATTTCTTTGTTTATATAATTTAAATTTATAAACTAGACATTTTAAACAGTTCATAGAGGAAAATTATAAAATTAAGATTTCTGATCTCTTAAAACAACAAATATGCTAGCAATTACTTTTTTTAAAAAAGGTACATATATTTATTTGAAGGTCAGAGTTAGAGAGAGAAGGAGAGGCAGAGAGAGGGAGAGGTCTTCCGTATGCTGGTTCACTCCCCATTTGGCCGCAAGGCTCGGAGCTGCACCAATCCGAAGCCAGGTCTCCAGGTCTCCCACGCAGGTGTAGGGGCCCAAGGACTTGGGCCATCTTCCACTGTTTTCTCAGGCCATAGCAAGGAGCTGGATAGGAAGCAGAGCAGTCAGGACTCCAACAGTACCCACATGGAATGCTGGCATTGCAGGCAGCGGCTTAACCCAGTATGCCACAGCGCTGGCCCCAGCAATTACTCTTACCTTATTTTACTCTTTTTGGGAGGTCTAGCCTTCATTTTGTCTTATGTCAAAATTAATTGTATTGTGATCTTCTGGTTGGCCACCTAAATTCTTTTTAGAAACTGATTTTAAATAAATAGGTAAATAGTACTACAATAAGTGTAGTTTCAAATATGTTCAAAGAGATCAGAGAGGGGAATTGTTTTATTTTGCAGGAAAAACTGTTGAGGTCACATTTAAGATTACCACAATATGTTTGTTAAAAGTTTTAAACTTTGGCTGAAAATTTGCATTCATGCCAAATGTCTACCAGGTATGACTTCCCTTGTGGGAAATTAAGAGTATTGGTGAGACAACTCTTCAATTCGCTTTTAGCAGATAAAACATAAGGAACTGCAGTTACTTAGTCATTTTTTGGTTTATCTATTAGTCCCTTGTTAAAGTGCCATCAAGCCTTTCTTTCATTTTTGATTTAACTATGTATATATTTGGTAGATCTGATACCAACAAGGGAAAGACAGAGAAAAGGCAAGCAGGTGAACAATGTCGGGGATATTCAGAACATAGTAAATCAGGATAAGGGACAATGCATGGAAAGCCTGCAGCTACTAGGACAATTTCTGCTCAAAGAACAAAACACGTGGGAAATTTCATGATTACCTTTTTCTTTTCACTCTTCATTGAAAAGCTAATGAGAAAGGAATTTGTTTCTAATCAGCTAATGCTGAAGAAAATATCCTATGATGGTTTTCATAAAAAAATGAAGTATCTAAAACTAGAGTTTGAATGCTGGATTTATTTGTCTTTTAGCTAGCATTGTGAAAGATTACATTGTTTTTCCAATGAAGAGGCAGAGGGAAAGAAAAAAATAGCAACACAAATAAACAAAAAAATCTTCCATCTACTGGTGAACTTGCTCAGTGCCTGCAATAGCCAGATCCAGGCCTGGCTGAAGACAGGAGCCCAGCACCCTGAGTCTGAGCCTGCTTTGTGAGTGGCAGGGATAACACTCTTCAACTCTAATCTGCTCCCTTCCAAAATTAACATTAACAGGAAGTTGGATGGGAAGCGAAGGAGCCAGGCTGGAAACCAGGCAATCTGATCAGAGCCGCAGGCAGCCCAAACTGCAATGTAACTGCTGTGCCAAACAGCCACTTCTGTATACCAGCTTTAACACTGCACTTGAAATTGCAACTCTGGGGGCAGGTGACACATGTTTATGGACAAACAGATCATTAGTGTAACCAAAATCTGAGTAGCATAATTCATTCAGAAAGTGGGTGTTCTTAGTGTTAAAAGTAAATTGTGGATTGTGTTAAAAAGTGCTGTACTTGTGTGGCTTAAACTCATCCATGAAGGCTTTTAGAACTCTGCACCAGAAAATCTGTTGTGTTTATGAAAATGTCAAATTGCCTAATCAAGCAAGTATAGGAGAAGGGAACAGACAAATTGAAAGGGCTCAAATTGTCTGGTCTGTGAACCACTCAGTCATAATCTCAATCCAAGGATTCACTCAGCTTGAAAGGGTAGGGCAAGGAATACCTGAGTAGAATCAAGCAGCAGGGTTTAGCTAAGTGATTAATTTTTACTGGGACTTGGGTCTAGCCTACAGCAACTCATGTGAGTATCCCAATCTAGCTATTATAATTAACTGTGATCCCTGTGTCACTTCTTAAAGATATAAGTTCTACAGGTGGAGAAAATATTTTTTACAATAATCCCTGGCCATTCCACCTAAGTGAAACGAAATGTACCCTACGCTTAATCAGACTTCCAATAGTCAAAGTGAAAATAAAATTTCAGATATTAACAGCATTTTAGTCTAACAGCTATTTTTCATACAGGGATCTTCAAAAACTTCGTGGAAAAATAAACTTATTTTTACAAGCTTTTTGAAGTACCGTCATATTTCATTTGAGACTTGGAGAAATGGTTTTGAAAATAAATTCTTTAATTCCTTATGGAACCATGCAAGACATCTCTACAAAAAAAAGCTGACTGTTAAAATACAAAATTATGAATTGAATTCTTAAAATTTCTATACACTAGCACTAAAACACCACTCATTAATTTCCCCATTACTTGAAATTCGCAAGGTTTTTACCAAACTGAACTGTATTATGTCGTATTAGTGTTGTTCTTCCCCCAAAGTCTCAAATACCAGCATGGAGATTTTTCTTAAGTTGCAATTCTGGTTGTTTGGCTTTTATCTATTTGTATATATACAAGTATCCTCACCTTCAGCCCAATAGAAAAGTGCTGGAAACAGCTGGACATTTGAAATTTGAAGAGTTAACTTCCCAAAACAGGCCTGCTGTTTTGTAGTAATCATCTTTGATCAGGTATTAGAGACATTAATAGGAGCTATTTAGTGCTAATATTTTGGGATAGTCGTTTGCTAATATTCTCCTCTTTGAGACTCCCAAGGAAATAATCTACTCTAAACATCAAGGACATAATAAACTGGAAAAACATCATGTAAATCCACAGTGGGAGATAATCAGTGATTCAATATCACTTTTAGATTGTTCTCACAAAAACCCCTTAACTTCAATATAGTCTTGGGGAAATATCAGATAAACACAAATTGAAGGATATTGTTCAAAACTAACCAATATTCATTAAATGTATCAAAATCAAAGAAAAGCTGAGAAATTTTCAGATAGAGAGGCCAAGGAGTTATGACAACTAGCTGAAAATACAGGATGCTGGGCTGGATTTATGGAGACTAAAAAGTTTATTAATTGTAAAACTGGCAAAAATATCTAAATTAGCTAATGTATCAATATAATTTATTAGTCCTATCATTGTTGTAAGGTTTTTAAGCTGTTAATTAATGTGTGAGGGAACTGTACTAATTTTAAAGTTTTAAGTCTAGAATTATTTCAAATTTAAAACTTGAAAGGTGTTTTTAAAAATGCAAGACATTGGCTGGCGCCGCAGCTCACTAGGCTAATCCTCCGCCTTGCGGCACCGGCACACCGGGTTCTAGTCCCGGTCGGGGCGCCGGATTCTGTCCCGGTTACCCCTCTTCCAGGCCAGCTCTCTGCTGTGGCCAGGGAGTGCAGTGGAGGATGGCCCAAGTGCTTGGGCCCTGCACCCCAAGGGAGACCAGGATAAGTACCTGGCTCCTGCCATCAGATTGGTGCGGTGCGCCAGCCGCAGCACACCAGCCGCGGTGGCCATTGGAGGGTGAACCAATGGCAAAGGAAGACCTTTCTCTCTGTCTCTCTCTTTCACTGTCCACTCTGCCTGTCAAAAAATAAAAATAAAAAAAATTTAAAAATGCAAGACATTCAGATGTTTATGAAAGTCAACTGATTTTTACCTTAGCTTTCAAGTGTTTATTCTTACAAATTGTATATTATCTAGCTTCAAATGAGAGTTTATTTGTGAAAACAGAAATGTTACCTTGTAAGAAATTAGCCGCTCCAGAATTAAAATTATCACTTTTGAATGAAAAAAAAAAGCATACTTGGCACACAAATGAATTACTATTGCCATTTCCTTTGCCAAAATTAGATAAACTATTCTATTTCAAGTCACAGTGATATTAGGTAGGGAGATTATTAGATTTGCGCTCTGTCTCTTGAAAAACTGGTTATATTTTCCAGGTGTCATCTTAATTGTCAGCCAGCACCTAATGTGGTCTGCAGCAGTTGTGTGGAAGCTTTCAGCCTGAACTAGCCTCTCATGCTGCTTTTAAGTCCATAAATGCTTCTTTGGAGCTTCCTGTGTGTCTCCACATGAGTCAAATCTAACAATTTAAAAATAGGCCACTTATGTCACCGGATTTACCATACAAGCATGTTTTAAATAAAATAAGTGTTAGGAATTTAAAGGAAAATGTTAGCCTAAAGAGTAAATAATAATAGAATAGTTTGTTTTCTCAGCACATGAAATTTTCTATGTGAGTCTTTGTTAAAATCAACAGTCTATGGTGAGCTCATGTTATTTTGATAGTGTTTAGATGTGTGGCACTTTGGTTTTTTATCATTAGGCAATATGCAGTCCAAGGTAGATGACATCTTTGTGGGGAAGAGAATTGCTAATTTTTATAAATAAATATTTATTATTTGAAAGGCAGAGTCACAGAGAGGTTGAGACAGAAAGAGGTCTTCCATCTGCTGGAACACTTGCCAAATGGCTGCAACAACCAGGGCTGGGCCAGGCTGAAGCCAGGAGCTTCTTCCAGCTTTCCTGTGTGTGCACAGGGGCCCAAGCACTGGGCCATCCTCTGCTGCTTTCCCAGGTGCCATTAGCAGGGAGCTGGATCAGAAGTGGAGCTGCCCAGATTCGAACAGGCACCCATATGGGATGCCAGTGCTGCAGGCTGGAGCTTTAACCTGGTGCAACAAAATGCCAGTCCCAAGAATTGCATATTAAAAGCCAAACAGATCCAGACTCCAACCAGCCCCCATCTCAGCAGTGTACATACTGTAATTTACCTATTCAGTAAGAATAACATCAAATAGTATCGTATGATTTAAGGAATGTTGCTTTACATCAAATGAAGCCATGCACAGGGTAAAATAACATCTGTTTAGGATGTAAGATATTTTCAATATATTTTATTTTTGGAAGACTATTAAGTTGATTATGAGATAACAAAGTACTACACACTTATAAGAGCTTTAGTGAAAGTTGATAGGAAAGAGTCAGAAAAGTGAAAAGAAAGCCATTAAAAGTGCCTAGACAAAGCACAGAAAATATAGAAACGCTTAGTTCTGTTAGAGAAATAACAGCCCACAAGAAAATCAAACCTTGTTTTTTAACTAGAGATGGGATACCAAAGATGATTACATTGATCATTTTCACATTTTGTTTTTTATTAGTTAACAAGTGGCAGGAAACTGCAAAGATAACACCATTACAACTTTTTAATATTCTTCACAGACCCCTAACTG